CCCCCCCCGAAAAAACAACAACAAAATACAACAAATGAGTATGGTCTCTTCCATCCTGCAAAACAAAATGTGCTGAAGGAAATTTCATTCTTCAACATGATTGGTTTAAAAATTGCATGTTATGCGACAAGAATGGACCAAAAATGTGGGTTTCTTCAAGATGATGGACCATCTGCAGAGATGACTCAGCTATGTCAAATAAAAGAAAGATAGGTTGCAGAGCACTGATCCTCTAGCCTGTTGGAGAGCTCCAAAAGAACATATATGAGTGCATATAAGGAAAAGGTCAATGGATTGATTTTTTTTACTCTTTAAATTAAAATCTACATCAGGGGAGTCTAACCCATGGGTTGCATATGGCCCAAGACGGCTTTGAATGCTGCCTAACAAACTTACACATTTTATGAGATTGCAACTGAAATACAATTAATAATATTAAAAACTTTTTAAAATCTATAATTTCAACAAAGTTGTTTTTTTCCAAAAAATTAACAACTTTATCCGATTCTATTGTAAAAGTTAGTTATGTGGTTCAAAACTATAGCAAAAATAAATAATAAAGCTGTATGTGGATGGTGGGGTATTAAGAAATGTACGGAAAGCAATGCATATATAATTTTCCCCGAAAAAATGAAAATTTGTCTAAAAATCAGTCTTTCTCACCAGGCTATACTATAGCCAGGCGTATTTATAAAATAGAACAATCAAGAGATTTAGAGGAAGCAGTCAAACGACATACGTTCATGCAATTTTCTTTGTCTATTGTGAACATATTTCGTATAGCTACAGATGGTGCCCCAGCCGTGATAGTTAAGAGGGGGACTTTTAAAATTAAAAGAAGACGCTGCAATTACTTCCAAAAATTTACATTTGATGAAGTGTCTATGCATTGCGCAGATGCTTTAGAGATGGATAAGTCATGCAGAATGTCATCTAGTCTGTAAATTTCAAGGGATCAAATCATCACCAAATCCAGTAATCACTTAAATTTATGGATGCTGACCATTGGGACATAATTAAAATATACTTTTTGGAAGTAAGATAGTATAGTCGAGGTAAAAATTTTGAAAAGTTTTTATCATATGCGAAATGAAGTAGGGTCATTTGTGGAATCAAAAACAAAATTTGTGCCAGAACTCAACATTGAAAACTGGCTCACGAATTTTTAGTTGACTTGACCACTCATTTAAACGAGTTAAATACCATCAGATGAATCCAATTTTTCAAACTACAACAGCATTTGAAATGAAACTGACACTATGGCAAGTAGATTTATAAGACACAAACAATTTGTGTAAATAAAACAAGATTTAATAAAAAAAAATCCCCAAATTTTTGGTATATTCCATAAGACGTAAACATATTACTTGCAAATGATCAAATGGAAGAAGTAAAGCTACAATCTGACATTTAACATTAAGATAAATTTTATAATTTCTCTTTATTGGACTTCTATACATCTTCTGAGAAAATATAAAAAATTTCCCTTGCTTCACAATCATATCTTGTTCATGTCATCATTTAGAATCACCTACAATCCTACATTTGTGTGCAGCTATTTTCAAGGATGCAGCACACATACATTAAAACTCAAACCAAATATCCAATAATTAGTGTCTCAAAAACATTTTTAATCATCTCACTAATTTCATGTTGCTATCTTGTCTTTTACTTCTCTAAAAAAAATATATTAATTTATGAAGATTATGTTACTTAAATATGTTAACTATATATTCCAAGTTTTTGTTTGTTGCTCATCTGTTATCGTCAGTTTTTGTGTATTTTATGTGTGACTCAAAATAACAAGTCTTTTTCGAATCTGGCCTAGTGAAGCTTAAAGGTTGATCTCCTCTGTTCTACATAATAATATCTTTAATGGAAAACTTTATTAAATGAAATGCCTGAACTCATGTTATCTAAATCTTCAGAAAACTCAACTCCACATTTATAAACTGAGCAATGGTACACTGACAGAAACCAAAACAGAGGAGGCTCTTGAGGTCATGGCTTTGGACTACTCACCAGATGGTGCATGGTTGGCTTTTGGAGCCAAAAACAAGATCAGCTTGCTTAATGTTGAAGATTGGAAGGCAAGTTTTTTGTTTCCTATAATTTACCATAATACTGAAGTTACGCTTTATTCTTTCCAAAGAAAAAGGTATTTATTTTTTGAATTTTAAATTTTAGACCTCAGAGAAACTCACAGTAGTAAATGAAGATAATTTTATCTGCTTCTGTTTTCTATTTCTCTTGCTCATTAGGATGAGATTGGTGGTTGGGGTGAGCAACATACAGCCAAGGTAACCTGTATTAAATGGTCAGGAGACTCAAGGAGGTTTGTTTCTGGCAGCATTGATTCTCATCTCATAATGTGGGAGTTTGGAAAATTTAAAGGGGAAAAGCCACATGTTAAAGGTAAGGAAATGCTTCAGCTGCATTTTATATATTTTGGTGGATTTTTAATCAGCTAACTTGTATTATAATGCCAAAGTGACAAATTATTCTTTCTAGAATGTTAATTTACATCATATGAGGAAGGAGAATTTTTCAGTAATATGCTTCAAATTAACATTATCCAATTACAAAAACTAATTTCATGTTCCATATATTTCATATATAACTTGTAAAAAGCTTCTTTTTTTTTTTTTTAAATTGCTTAACCATTGATAGAGTGTAGTTTTGAATAATGATGATAAATGTAATTTTACTGGAAAAAAATATTTGTTAAATTGACCATAACAATCGGGACAGCGACTTTGTCAACTATTACTGCATATTTATTCCCCAGCTCATCCTATGAGTCATTTTAACAAGGTTGAATGGTTGGACAACAACACATTAGTGACAGCAGGCCAAGACTCTAATATTAAGATTTGGAACGTTTCCGACTAAACTGTCTAGAATTATTTTGTTATTTTCTGCATCTTGACAATTGAAGATTAGATTTTGGTTTACAAATCTTTTAGTGGCTGGAAGCTTTAATTAGTAATAACTTTTTTATTGGTCATTGCTTCGATATCCCCAGTATAATCAACATTTCTTTATCAATTTAGACTTTTCTGAAATGGAGTCAAATATTTTGTTTATGAAGGAGAACTGTCATTTTATTTAATACTAAAAAGTTGCTTGCAACTACTGACTGGCATAGTATAAGTATAAGCATAGTAAAATTTTAATTTTTATAAATTTATGATGGTGGTGCTTAGTTATATCAATTTTTCTTTTCAAAGACAATTCAGCATAAATATGATTTGTTATGTTATTGTTTAAATTAAAAAGATGTGGGTATATACATTTTTTTATCAGTCCAAAATAATTAAATTCATCTTTGGAGTAGTCATCTATAATTTTTTAATTTTAAAAAAATGTGGCAAAATATTTCAATGTAGGGAAGACTAAAACTTAGAAGGTAAATATTCAAAAATCTAATGTCATGTTATGCTTCAATTTATTTTACATATATATCTAACTTGAATTTGCATTTCCTCTGTCAAGCGTGCATTTTTTAATGTCATTAAGCCTAAAGGATAGAAATGTAATAACTGCATATTTTAATGTCATTTAATGGCAGCTTTTTAGTATTTCATGATGAAATGCTCTTAAAACTAAGGATACCAGTGATGAAAGTAAAAATTTACTAGCTGAGCTGTTAGCCCCTAAAAAATATAAATGAAAGGACTGCTTAGTAAATGAATAAAATAGCAAAATGAGGTATGCGTGAAGCTTGAATAAGATATCTTATTTAAGCTTCACACTTACCTCGTTTTGCTATTTTATTCATAGCCCCTAAAAGGAGTTTCTAAAAATTTATCAGATTTATTTTGATTTATCAACAGTAGATAAAATGCCTTGGTGACATCTTGTCATAGTTATATGCAGGTCAGTGTCATGAAATGTATTTTAGGTTTTGCTGCCCCAGTTCAAAAACTTAATTTATAATTAAGTTGGTTTAATGTGACATATTATCATGCCTCAACAGAGCTTTCATTACTGTAAAGGCAGCACACCAGCTGGGGGCAACACATGCTCTTCTATTTTCCTGCAAAAGTATCCAAATGAATCTTGATAAAATTTCTCTATTGATAGAGGGACCTGGGGGGAGGGGGGGGGTGAATTTATTCCTTTTGGTGCTTTTATTAAGTAGCTATTTTAACACAACTTATTTTGTGTGTGTGTTAGATTTTATTTATTTTTTTAACAACAGCTGTGGTTAGATTTCTTTTGCCTTGACTTGAGTATGAGTCTTAACAAAAGAGCGATAATAAATCTGAATGTTTTGAGAGAAATTTTAAAGAACTTTTACATCCCTGTATGGGACAAAACTGGTTTTAATTTACATAAGTGTTGTAATGCTTGTATTATTAATATTTTGGGACTTTGCATTGTTTGTGTACAGATTGGTTAGGGTCAAGTATTTTCTTGATTATTATTTCATAATAAATGTCAGCAAACATTTTGATGTGAATTTTAATAAGTTGTGTTGGATTTTATTAATTAAAGGAGTGGCCAATTTAGGTTGCAGAAGAACAGCTTGGAACTAACAAAGTAAATTATAAGGCTTAATATTTAATATACTTGATATCATTGAAGACATCTTATCCCATTGGGCAATCATGCAAAATTAGGTGCATTTAACTTATTTAAAAATAAATATTTTTTTTATCAATCATCACTGATCAAATAAGTTTTGAGACTCGAAATATCTAGTACCAATCTGTATTTTATGTGATATGCATGCAATATACCAAGTTCTCCAGCTGTTCCTTGTGAGTGCCTTAAATATGGATATTTCTAGCTCTAAATTATGTACACTACATGCATCAGTGGCAAGTGTCTGTACCATACTATATTAATATAGTGTCGTTAGATCTAAGAATAGAATTTCAGAATTCTCCTTTAATAAAATGTCTTTCATACTCACTGTGTTACTTTTGTAAAATTAAAGTTTTTAGATGGAGTCCATTTGTTTTGAGATATGACTGCTTTAGTAAATCATAAGGGTTCTGATAGGGACACAGCAACTACCTTAATTATTTGTAATAAAACCTGTCAACCATAGTACCGGTACATCAACTTCCAGTAAATAATTACTGCATTCACTACAAGTACAAGAAATTTTTTTACCAAATTTTTTTAAAAACGAAAAGAGAAAAAAAAATAAGTTTTAAGTAGTAGTTTTTATTTTAAAAAGTATTTAAATCAGCTTTAGAATGAGTAACTTTTTTACTGGGAATGGCACTTGGATAAAATCTTACAAGTACAAGATTTAAGGGCCAGGAAGAAATGGCAATGGTATTTTAAATGAAATTAAAATACATACTTACAATGTGTTGACCAGGGGTGGACTGGGGGGTTCAAGCGGCCCGGGAAAAAATCAAAGCGGCCCGGGGAAAAAACAAAAAGCGGCCCTATCTTCATGACTTATATTTTTATTATATCACCGGTCCTAGCGGCCCATCGGGAATCTTCCCGGTGTCCCAGTCCCCCCTGGTGTTGACTACATGAGGTGAACTACAACAAGCAAATATAACTTGAACCCTTTATTTGTGATGATTTCTAAAGCATCAACTATGCACAGCCCAAGTTGACATTAGCAAACATAGAAATTGTTTAGTTTAGAAATGTATTCTATAGAACAATCTTATATAAATATATTCACAAGTATAAAGCTGGTTATTGTATTTTGTTTTTTTGTTGTTTTTTTACATGAAATAAGATTTGCATCAATTAGAAATGCAGTAGAAATAGCAGCTTAAAATGTGCATCACAGATCATCTTAATACAACAGATGCACATGCAGCTTCTAGGAACAATTCTCTGCTGCCCACATATAGTATACGCTTTGTGTACTGTTATACAAGTGGTCAACATAAAAATTTCCATGTGTGTTCCATATATTTCAGATATTGCATTTTACAGTGTCACCATAATATGTAAATGTATCAATGTAATTTAATGTATAGTTATATTTCATACAAAACAGTATCAGAAAATCAATTCATTGTTTCAAACAAAGCATATTCATCAGGACTGACCTCCAAATAACTTTCCTACTCATAGACAGCAGTTCTAGCCTTGGTGGTAATTATGGTCTTGTCTTATTTGACTGCATACTTTAATATAATGTATAGAATCAGTCAAAGTGAAAAGTCAAAGGATAGTTGTTAATTATCAGAGTTTGTAAAACATAAGATGAAGACTGGGCCCAAACCTACACTTCCTGAATTATGGTCTATAAGGTAGAATACTATTTAACTATAAAAACTGTTTCCACTGATGGGGTGAAAGATAATATGCTTCCTAATTTCAGACCCAACAATATCATTTCACATTTTTTTAGAATAAGCCATGGTTGAGCAATGTTATAGGTGGGATGATGATTAGGTATTATACAGGATATGTACAGTAGTAATTGTAATTATGAACTGTCCATCATTCAAAATTCACTCACATTATTAATACAAGCTTATTTTTAGGTTGTTTACATGCATTTATGGTATAATAATATTTTAGTCATTTATTTATACTATAGTATGATAATAAATTAAGTTTAAATAATGATTCATTTTAAAATTAAAAGTAAGTTAATTTATCAGATGCTTTGGTCAAAATATACTAAATCCCATTGTAAAATAAATAAATGTAAGTAGCAAAACACAGAAACCGGAACCTTACAATGCTGTGATTTACACAAGAGTAATATCCCATACAGGTAGCTCATCCATATAGTGCGTTTAGTTATGTAGTCTTCCCTTACATCAGATAATAAGATAAGCTTTGCTAACCACATACCCCAAGTGTGCACAACTGCATAAATAATTTAAATGTATAAATGGAAACTAATCCTCGTTGCTGTTTCAAATACTTTTTAGTGCATGGGTTGGCAATAAAATTGTAAATATTTTAGTCATTGTGGAACAAGGGGAATTGTGTACACATAATCAAGAGATCTCACATCACTCAGAAAAAAATGTACAGGACCACCCCTGGGCACACAGCATTCAATCAATAGGTATTTTAAATCAAGCAAAACTTTAAATGGGTAGATTCATACTTTATACATTTCTTTTTTTCAATTGTCAAGGAATGAAATTTTTTAAATAAATCAAAATAAATATTACAAATAAATTTATGTTGCATTTTAGAGCTATAAACTGCCCTTTCCCAACCTCAAAAAAATGAAGAATCAACATGACATGTTCTGTTACAAGCTTGACAGTTGAGTTATACAAATATGGTTTTGAACCTTAACACAAAAGATTATAATCTACAACATTCTCAATCACAATACTACAACAGCTATCTCATGTTACCTTGAAGTGGTTCTTAAGCAACACAATTTTACAGACATTTGTCAGCTGGTGATATTTCCCATCATACACTACTGGTATTTAAAGTGTGTGATCTGCTTGTCTGCACCTTTAGACCCCAGGAAATGGAAGAGTCTAGGTTTTAAAGTGTTAACATTAACTTACTCCATTAGTTGCAGGTCAAGCTCTATTCAGTGCACTGACAAAAAAAAAATTCAAAACCCCCAACACAAACCACTTTGATGTACATAGTCTACATATACCACATTCTGTAAACCTTAATACTTGCCATTCAATGGTTTGGAAATCACATTGCCTACGGTTGAAAGATTTCATATCAGGTTTATACCACCTCACCCCGCTTTACAGGCCCCCTCCCTCACACTAGATGAGAATTTATAGATGTTTCTTGTAACAGATCACTTCATCATTGTTATCACTTCATTTAACAGAGTATAATGACAAGGTGCTTTTGATTGCTAAAGCATATACTTGTGTAAAGAGAACACATCTCTGATTCACTAGCTTGGGAAGGGTAACAACAGCTCAATAAGCTGGAATACAATATCACAAGTTGAATAACAAAGTTTGCTGTAGTTGTTGAATACATTGTTCGATATTTAACAGTAGCCCGCATCCTGAAGACCCCATCAGTTTCGCTTGTTTCTATCAACTAAAGGCTAATCAAGTTAACTGAAATTACTGATGAACGGTAACCACATTCACACACTAGTTCTCAAAACGGGCTACAAACTAATGACACACAAATGGGCCATATAGTTATAGGTTGGAGACCGCTGAAAATATGCAATAATAATAAAAACAATTTGATCCCATATTCAAATCCCCGCAGCAGAAAATTCTCCAATGACAGACACAACCATGAAATCAAACCACATCTCTATGTTCTGTCTAGTGATAGTTCATCTTAGGTCAAAGAATAGTATGAAAAAAAGTTAATTTTTTACATTCCCAAAAGCTGAAAAAGCTGTGTCTGTCCTTTTCTGGAAAGATGCCTGGCCTGCCATGTTAGTTGTTGACATCATCTGAATTCCCATGGGGTTTTGAGGGATCCCACCCATCATGGTTCCCTGGGGCATTCCATTCATCATGGTGCCTTGAGGTATTCCAGCCATCATAGTTCCCTGTGGCATTCCAGTCATCATTGGCGTCTGACCCATACCCATCATACCTAAGAATAATTAACATGTTCAGGCAACTACTATTATTAGTATTATGCTACAAAAAAAAATGAGATATCTTAAGCATCCGCCACTAATTGCAAATGCAATTTTTTCTAAATCATATCTTCTTAAACTCTGAGCAGTGATAGCAGATAGCAAAAATATTGCCACTGATAGTATCTAACATATATTTACAAAAATAATAATTGTACACTCAAGAATGCTACTAATATTGTCTTTAGCACAAGAGGTTGCACATGAAGTAATTAAAGACCTCATTAAAGTTAAAGCCAAACATTTTAATCATCAAGAGTTTTATAACACTGCAGTTTTTTTTATAGGTAATATTTATTCTCAAGTTCTAATTACTGAAATGACTTATATAAAGCATTTTTCAAAGACACACTGTCATCTTACCCATATTGGACATGACAGGCCTTGGGTTTCCAGCTACCATCATGGAGGATGGCATGAGTGGGTTAGTAGGGCTCTGCAAGCTCATGTTAGCCATACCTTGATTGATGCCTCCCATTCCAGGAGTTATGAGACCCATGCCTGCAACATAACATCCTATCATTAGACAGATATCTGGGGTACCTTGCTACAACATTAAATCCAGGTGGACAACACTGAACATTAGAGTCTGACCATGCATGCATTGAAATAACAGAAAGCTTTTTGCATGCAATAAATCATGTTTAAACAAATTTCAACCACATCAACCAAGTCTCAACAACTAATGAGCAATCACTATGGGACTTAAGATCCCTGAGTGAATATCAACAGCAGTGTTTTTTAACCGGGGTTCCTCCGGCGGCCAGTAAAAATATAAAAATAATGGTTGAACTCGCCAGAGACCAAGTCTGGTGACACCCACACTGTATGGTAATTAGTCATTGTTAATCAACTTAATTACTGTTTCAGTTTTTTTTCACAATGAGCTTTTAGCGTTTGAATTAATTTTCATAACACTGTTCTTTTCACGCGACTATGGATCGATTTATTAAGAAGAGAAAATTAAACAATACCACAACTGATGACCAAGATAAAACTCAAGAGCAGTCAACTGAAGCTAGAGCTAGTACCACATTATGAGAGCAAAACATGCCAAATAATTGACATTAATCAAAATCTTAAAGTAAACTTAGCTATGGGATTCACTTTGGGCAGGAGATTCAGACTGCCCTTTCCCATTCTGTGTTGTCTGCGGGGAAAATCTTGACTTGTCAATAGTGCCATGGCACCAGCTTAAATGAAGCACTTAACAACTAAACATCCAGATGTAGCTCTCAAGAATGTGGCGTACTTATAAAAAACAAACAGCAAAAATAAAAAACAGCCACTTCCAAGAAAAAGTTAAAGATAAGAGACAAAGCTCAACAAGCAAGTTATGCTGCAATGGAGATGGTTGCAATGAAAATAAAATCATACACTTGCCAAAACCGTAATCTTACCAGCAACCCGAGAAATTGTGACAATAACAGACCTGTTTACTCATACGATTTTGGAGTACAATGTACCATTTTAAGTTGGATACATTACATATTCTGTATGTTTATTTTTTACTATTAAGATAATGTATTGAACGATTTTGTGATGATATTGTACGATTTTAAGAGTTTGAGGGTAAACAGGTCTGCAATAATGTTTGTTGAGAATGATGTGTCTGACATTAATTAGATTCCACTGTCAGACAATAAGACAAGCAGATGTATTTCAGACATGTCCAGCTAAATTAATAGTCATGTTTTAGTAAAGATAAAGACACATAAATTCTTGGCACTGTGCATGGAAGAAAAAAATGGTAAAACACATCTTATGAATTTTGTACGCTATATTAAAATAGAACTATTGGTGAAGATTTTTCTGCTGTAAGAAGTTACCAGAAACAATAAAGGACAAGAAATATCTGACATTGTCAATTCATATTTTCAGTTCTGACTTGAACTGGAAAGACTGCGTTGGCATTGAAAAGGGAAATGTCAAAGGTTTTGTCTAGCTAATGCGACATTTGAATCCAGCTATCATGGTCACGCACTATTTCATCCACACAGAGAGAGAGGCACTAATTGCTAAAACATTTGGAGTTGAGTTTCAGTCTGTGATGGACACGTTGGTGAAAATTGTTTATTATATGAAGATGAGACCTCTGAATTGTCGCTAGTTCGCCAAACTTTATGAAAGCGTGAAAGTGGATCGTGCCACACTCATCCAAACACATTGACATTCAATGGCTGCCTTGTGAAAAAGTTTCCTTCTATTTTGAATAGAACAAGCCCTTGTATCACATGCCTTGAGCAATCTAAATGTGCCAAATGGTTCCATTCCAATAAAAAGGTTGAAAAACACTGATCTGCAGGATAAAATTAGCCCATCCCTAAAGTACACTGCATATAAATATTTTAAGTAAGATTGTCAGAAACTATAAATTTTGTGAAATTTGTATTGTTGGCCTTCTTCAGTACTGGCCATTTTAGCAATTAGCTTATTGGTGCAACCCTATTTTTAACACATGCACTCATATCAACAGATGTTATCCAAGCATAGACTGAATGAAATTCCTACAACTTCAAGTTAGCTGATTCACTTCAAAGTTAAATTATTATTTCTTTTCATTTCCTAAATCATGATTTTTTAATAACAATTATTGTTATGTTTAACTCATTACTTTATACTTAACTAATATTTGTTTAAAAATAGGTGCATTTTTTCCTCATTTTATTTACATAATTAGTTGGCAGAAAAAAAATAGTCTTCTTGGTATGTAATATTCAGCAGATCACAATGGGAAACTTATTTCTAGTAGAGCCCCATAAGAAATCTTCAGTACCCCAGTCTCTGGTATGCCACCTCTTCATAGGTGTTGGTCATGCAACTAAGAACAATCAATGTTTTACATTTGACAACTGTGCTTTACAATGTATTTAATGACAGTCTCTTTTAAAACTCTGATTTGATACACTACAATAATTATAAGAATGTTTTAAAAAGTCTTTCTGGGTAACCAAAAACTAAACCAAAAAAAAATAAATAACTTCTTTATAACAAACTAACTTATGTTGACATGTAATGTTTCAAGTTATTATGACAACCATTTTACAACACTGACTGTGACTAAGCATGCTGAAAATAAGAACAGATATCTTTCTTTCAAAGTAGTTAAAAGGAAACAAAAAACGTTCACACAAGGAGCATTCTACATTATCCTCCTCTGAGACATAAACTGATGCTACCAAAACATAGTTCTACAAAAAATGTTATTGAAACGAAAATTTTGAAAACATGCTTTAATTTTGTGTGTACACAAATATGAGTTTGATTTTTAAAATAATAATTTTATTCCACATTGAATTATAGTCCTAATCTGTTTCTTATCTTATTTATTACCGTATCTACATAAATGGATGTTTGATAGATTTTCTTAATGTTATGTTTCACATATTTTGTGTCAATTCTTATCGAGTGAAACTGGAACAGAAAAAGATAAACCATTCAGGGTAACATAGAACAGTAAATAAAAGAGATCCATAAACATATGAACAGTAAATGTAAAAAATTTTTAAAAACGGAGAAAGTCAGTGTCGTTATAAAACTTTAAAGTCAAGAAAGAGTAATCTGATAGAGAAATATAACAAGTTCTGCAATGAATGGCCATAAATATTTATTTGTTTCAACAAAATAAGAACTTTAAAGTCGTTCTCCGTTCTAAACTACCAACTTTTGGCATCTTCTCTCAAGAATATTTACTCCTTGTTTTTTTACATGAAAATAAGTACCATTCTGAGGTAGTATCTGTAACACAGGTGCTACCACAAGAAATGTGAAAGTACCACCAGTGCAGAGGTAGGGGTCTTACATGCACATCTGTCAAGGAAATGAATAAGGAACACCAAGGTAACAAACAAAATGAGGCCAAAGAATGAAACCATGCTGAGAACACCAAGGGCTGGCCTACCTGTAAACACTTCAGGGTACCATAGGACACCTTGGGGAGTGGGGTGGGGAGGGCAAATAGGAGATAGATGACAAATATGAGCAGGACTTATCCACACACACCATGTGTCTGCTCTACCAACCAGCCTCTCATTGTTATAGAGATTACCTCGGTTACCTATATTATATTTGTTTCAGCAATCTTATTGTTGAAAACAGTTTTATGTTGTGAAAAGAAAATCTAAAAGAAATGAAAGAACCCAACATTAAACGTATTATTTTAAATGAGACAAGACAAGAGACATAACCAAACTGATGCAGCCGGACAGTTAATGAAAGTGGTTAATGACTAATGTGCCATGCTTTTTGGAAGTGCTTACATATTCAACAAGCTCTGCACAATCTAGCTTTTTAAATTTCTTGTTAAATAATACAGCCAACAACCTAGAAAGAAACTCATCTTCAAATAACTGAGCTAATCAACACATTTAAAATACTTAAAAGATGCTATTTCTTTGACTCCCTCCACTTCATTTAGATCTTCTTTAAGTAAATAACACAAACAAGTATCTAGGCATCCATATCCAGATGCTAATGATAAAATAACATTTCTTTATCTAGGCATCCATATACAGATACTAATGATATAATAACATTTCTTATGTCACAATAATTCTCACTTAAATGGGTGGGCAAATTTTCACAGAATGTATATTAAAAAGTGGAATATTTAAAATTAAATACAGCCATTTATTGACTCGTGCAAGAGTGAAATATACCTTGTGGCATTGGTTGGCCTCCGGTCAGTTGGTTGAGAGAAGGACCCTGGGAGGACTGCTTGTGAAGTTTTGAGCCAGGGGTCAGACCATCCAGGCTTATATTGACTGGTGTATCATTCCATGTGTTGCCCTTCTGAGAGGACAGATGATTAAGACAAAAAAATGCCAATAAAAATGTAGAGAAAATAATACATTTTTTACATTTATTCAAACATTTTTAGAAGACTTTTTATCCAGTTGTAAAATCTTTATATAATTGGTTCTATATTTTTTTACTGACTAGTCTGAATTTAGTTCAAGAACTCAGAATTAAAGCTTTCAAGTGTTTTTGGTTATAAAATTTTGAAATGAGTAGAGAACTTTGGAAGAAGTCTCTTTATTTTTTAACTTATCCCAACTCTCTCCACAACAAAAATGGGCATCATTCACTACAAAAGTTATTACAATTACAATCAGTACAAACAGAGAATGTTGGCAGACAGTAAGGCTTACTATAATATTTTGATTTAATGTATTAACATCTCTCTCTCTTTCTTCTTTTTTTTTTTTGTGTGTGGATGGTGTATGGGTGTTGTGGTCTGAGACAGTTTATTAAAATAGCATTCACAGATAGCAAAATTATTACATGAAAAGTTATTACACGAAAGTTAAACTTTGTTGATCATGTCTCTTTTCTCAATCTTAAAAATGGCCAAGTAAAATTAAAATGAGACAAAAACATCAGCACACAATAAAGAAACTCGTGATTTATTATGGAATAAAGTAGCAAGAGAGAGAGCATGTTATTTCAACATACTGTTAAAGATGTGTGAACAAAAGATGTATTCCAAAATCAGAAAACTGGTTATGGCACTTAAAAGTGGTTCTAAAATAATGAAATCCAAGTTTTGTGGTTATATTACAAGCATTTGTCCTCCAATGAACTAAATACAAAACCACATTTATGTAAACCATAGCACTCATCTAGCAATAAATGTGTAAATATATAGTATATGGCCCTATTAAAGTAATATAGAGGGATGACGGCATATTGCATGAAGAATACAATGAGGTTATCACATACAAAATTGTGCCAAAACGTTTTTAGTTTTTTGGAGATGGAATAGAGTAATAGATTCACCATGACAACAAGCTGTTTGGTAGGGTAAAATAGGGCATTATAAATATAGGATGTATTGGGAGAATTTGGTGGGGGTGAAAATGACACATAAGTGCACATTTTTGTGTATTTGAAACGATCTTCCACCTTTCGCAGCAGTCTTTACCCTGTCACTATTTTTTTTTTAATTTATAAGATACAAAAATGTGTATGATTGGCCCATTACCAAACTATAACTAAACAGTAAGTCATATTATGAAAGTAAAATGGTTATGTTTTTATGACTGTTTCCAAAAATAAATATATTGAAACCAAACAAAGAAGCAATGCTGTTAGTTTATGAGCATTTCTGAATCAATCAACAGACCTCAGACAGTGGCATTCGATCGAGATATTTTCATAGCTATAAGGAGTTAGGAAATCATACTGAGCTTGAGTATAGATGTTAGAATGGTTATCACTAGCTAGTATTCAAGCAAACTTCTAGTAGATATTACTTGTAATTGGTGACTTGTGTTTAAAGGGTTTTTCAACAATTTCACAAGTCATAGCCATCAATATTGTCATCAAAAGCTATAGATATTTGAAATTACTTATTAACTCAAATTTATTTTGAAAATGCTAAGTGATTTTGTTGACTTATGTGGGTGCTGTAATCACAGAAGGACCATGGAGGGGTGAGAAACATAGGACAACCATGAAATAAGTCTAATTAATTTATTATAGCAATTCAAAGAAATTTTTTAGATAATTAGATAGATTTTTTTTTTAAAAGATAAAATGATATTCATTTGAATCAAAATGAATAGATTAAAATTCATCAACTTGACTTTTTCAATTATTGCTCAGTTACACAAGGCATGGTTAAAAGATTTACCAGATCTAAATAAATGTAGAGTGAAATAGCACATACATTGTTTGCTGAATATCAAATTACATTTGTAACAATCTTGAAATTTTTCACTTATCATAAAGCAGTGCTTCTCAACTTTCAAAATGATACATTTTAGAGCACAAATCTCATGTTTTTTTTAAATGAATATTTACAACAAATTTAAAGCAGAAAAAATATGCTGTTTTGACATTTCATAAATCTTCACATAAAATATTTTTATTTAAGAAGCACAGATTTTAAATTCTATAAGAATGTCTAACAGAGAAACAAGTTTAAAAGAGCTTCTGATATTATTTTTTGAAAATGCATTTTAAGGTAAGCATATATATCAGAACAAGCAAAATACATCCCAGTTTTAAAAAGCACACCCAATGTGTTATTTTTAAAATCAATTAAGTTAGAAGATAGATATTTTTGCTAAAAAAATTTCAGCTGTTCATGTCCAATAGTACGACAGGCAGGAGTCGCATGTTAGATGAGAACCAGCAGGTTTTAAAAGGGCAACGAAAAATAAACAGACCTTTTCTCCACTAGTCCCTTGTTTAACACTGGTGTTCTGACTTGCTAGACCAGATGGCCTGACCTAATGGTAATAACCATGGATTAGAACCAATATAACTAACTTTCTACCTAGTCCCAGACAAGTGCAGGTGATGCAGCTTAAGAGCTATATGGCCCATTTGAAACACTAACTAAGAAGACAGGTCTATTACTTTAGGTCATGGCAGTTTAAAATCACTAAAAAGTCACCTCATAATTTTATAACAAAATGCATCAGGAACCAAATCTAGATATAATGTTATGTAAATGGTAGTGAAATATTTTTAAGACCCTTATACAAAATAATGAAATATGATTATTAGCTTTCACATCTACAAACTAAGTTTAAAGGATGTTTAACACTGTATTTTTTTTTTCAATTTTCAATGCTACTACAAAAAGATTTTAAACAATTGTGTGTTATGCAGAAGTGGGTTTGACAAAATCTCTATGACAATGAACATAATACTCAAATTAAGAAGCACAACGTAGAAAGAAATGGGGAAAATAAAAATCAACGTTAAAAAGTTACCTGCATGTTTGAATTGACCCCTGACCCTAAGACCATCATCCCTGGATAATTGACACCAGATTGCTGCATTAACATTGGCTGGGTCATACTCGATTGCTGCATCATCATTGGCTGAGGATCAAAGATCACATCTACAACCTCGCTACAACCATCACCATTTAAATACTACAACCAACCCCTACTCTAAGTCTGTTTCAATTTAATAAAAACTCTACAATCAATTGTAACAGGTGACTGCTCTCACCTATTTTAAAATCTTTGCACATCCATAAAACCAGTCTTTACTAATACAATACCATTCAATCACAGCTTACGAGTGCTTCATAACCTCTTTTAAAAAATATATCAATCAACTCAATCATAACTTAATGTCACTGTTTGACAATACTTCACATCCTCATAGCACATTAACCACACATTGAACTGCACAAATTATGTTTTAAACATAATTAAATAAATTCCAATGAGCCCATTAATTATTTGTTTCTGCTCTTATGAGACACTACAGATTTTAGAATTCAAAAAGTGCTACCAACTTCAGCTTCGTTCATTCCCGGACCTGAATTATAGACACTATTTAAAGAATAATAATTAGCAAGGACCTCATTTATCAAACGTGCTCCAGAAAAAAAAAGCACACCCTAAATTAAAGCAAAACAAATTATATAATAATGCATTTTGAAGAAATGTACGTCCATTAAAAAAAGGTCATGCTCTTTTTCCAAATCTAAAATTTTCTCAATATTCTTTCAAACGTCACTTTAAGAAAACAATACTGTTAGTTCAACTTATCCCCAGTCACTAAATTTTGTTTCATTCCAGCTAACTACCCAGATTTCTCAATACAAAGCAAATATGATATTCCTGTCAACAAATGAGAAATAATATGATTCACTTCTGATAAATTATGTAATGTGGAGTCACACTAATGCCATGATAAATGCCCAAGAGCATGGCAAAAAAAATTGAGAAAAGTTAGGAAATGAGAATTGTTAATGTTTACCTGTTGCATAACTGGTGTCATTCCACTCATGGGCATCATTCCCGGCACCTAGAGGAAACATCCAAGAATTAGTTGGCACAGATTGTTGGACATTTACTAAGCAGATCTACAGATGACCCACTCTTGCATATGAACCTTATGTGTTAAGCAGCTTTCCAGCAAAGTTTAAAAATTAGACTTGTCAGATAAAATACACAAAAGAAGATGATGTGACTAAGAATCAAATTCATTTGAAACAAAATCCACATTAATTTGAGACTTAAGTGTCACAAAAAAATCTAGTGAGAACATTTCCACCCCCGATCTGATTCAAGTCCCTGCATTTATCTTATTGCAAATGTTCCAACCAGTGAAAAATTTAGTAAAATAATCATAAATGCACTTTTATAAATAAAATAACACTGACCATGTTCATTCCTTGGGGTACATTCATGTTAGTCATAACCATCCCTGGCATCATCATGCCACCTGCAGACATTGGGGTAAGACCAGGAGCCACAGAGGGAGCTGAGAAGACATCAAACAAGTCATTGACTGCTGAGGAACCAGATTGAGTGGTGGCTGGGCCAGCAGGAACAGATGCAACCAGTGGGGATATTGAAGGAGGAGAAGTTGCAGAATTAAACTGGGCAAAGTCAGCAAAGCCACCTTGGGTGCTGTGGAATAATTTCAAAATGTGTTAAAAGGTTTTGACAAAAGATGATATAAAGTGTCAAACTTATTAAGAATATACATATGGTTATGTCATTTTGTGTCATTCCTAAGCATGATATGGAAGGTAAAAGGCATATAATAATTGCTTATTATGGAACACTACCTTTTACGGCTTGGAATGATAAGGAATTATTTTTCAATGACATAAGAGAACTCATTTTACAAACAAATAAAACTTTTTTTAATGTTATATTTTTCACTAGAGTGGTAATAACGTTTTTTAGAAGAAGTTTGAGTCTAACCTTGATGTGTTAGTTCCAACTTTAGAAAAATCACCAAAATCATTGCTGCCTGAAGCTAAAAGAAATCGAGATACCTCTTTAAGACAAAGTTTTGTGCAATCTTTACAAAGAGCTCACATAAAATTAACTTTTTTGAAAAATGTATTGTTTTATACACCCTTTCATTTAAATCTGTTTATCTTTTATGATGTACAAGAAAAAAAATTAAAATTGAATTCATAATATTGGCAATATCAAAATCTGTATAATTTACAGTTCATTTACCGTACATTCATTAACCATTAAGAATATTAAAATTATATTTAAATAAAATTTAATCTGTTTATTTTGTCTAGCTTACCACGGGGATTAAACTCATCATTTGTAACAGCTGCAGACTGAAAAGTAGAGAAATCAGCAAAGCCTTCTTGTCCACCTGCTGGATCTGACAGATCAAACAAGCTAGGTGCTGAATCATGGGAAGCAGATGTTTGACTCTGCATTGAATATAAAAAAATTCAGTAGAAATTTAAACACTCAAATATATTGCTCTTTGTGCCAACCTATTACCTCTAACCTCACATCCTCTCGCTGCCATCTCAGATACTACATTTCAGCCAAGTCTTACTTTTATTTAATTTTTTATTGTTGGTTATTCGCTGATGAAAGCTTCCTGCAGACACATTGGTTGTTTAGTTGTGTTCTTTTTTCAGGTTTTCCCATACTAAGTCTTTCCATTTTTACCTCTGACCATTAATGTTACCCACCTAATGTAAATAACTAAATTAAAATTTGTCCAAGAACCCTAATAAAGTTTTTTTAAATTACTTGACCAGCAGCTGAAACTCCTTACATGCACATACCTGGCTATCTCCATCCTTGCCAAGACCTGAAGCTGCCCCTAAGTCAAGCTTTTTACCAATGGATCGCGTTCTTCTGTTTGTTGTGATCTTTTCAGTTTTAGTTGTATGTGTTCTTTCCACTGATGTGTATTCCTCATCGTCATCTTTAAAATCATACCTATCTCGTTCAGCTTTACGTTCTCTTGAATCCTTCTCTTTTTCTTTGCTTTTATCCCAACCCTCTTCTTCATAACGTTCTGGATCACTAGAAGCAAACATTTTAATTTTAGTGAGAAACCTTTCACTGCAAAATAAATTGTATCTATTATTCAGTACTTCAGACACTATGGGCACTTTCGTAATTTTAATGTACGGATTCCATATTTATTACTTTATAACAAAATATAAAAATTAATATTATAACTTAAAGACTCATAAATCTATGAACATCTACATATATGACATAGCAAACAAAAAAAAGTCCTAATTTCATGCTAAATTCTACAGAAATGGAAAAAAAATGAAAGTTTGAAACAATGGAGGGAAAAAATGCATTTTAGGTTACTCTCAAGTTTCTAATGTTAGTGTAAGAAAATGACAACACAAGGAACAAGAAAAGTTTTGATACCCACAAGGCTACATTTAAAAATACCTATATTAATCAAACGATCTTGAGTTTATAAAATGTACATTTTCATCATGCAGAGAGATGATTGTGTTAAGGTTGTTAAGCTTTCAAGTACAGTATCATTTTTAATAAAAATATATCTCTCTTTAACATATTTTATAATAACTAAGCCATTGGTTTAAATGTTTTGTAAACAATATACATAAAAAAATGAGGAGGGGTATGCATCAGATAGGTTTCATTTGTTTAAACACAAAAACTTTAAAAGAAGAGAGCAAATTAATACTCAGCTAGGCAACAAAAAAGAGAACAGCTTTCAGCTATGAATAGAGAGAAAGACATTTTTTTTAAAAATCTATAAAAAGGTAAAGCACCAAAAATTGCATGCTTAGAAAACATACTAGTCATACATCTCATCAGGTGCCTGCCTGCCTTGGGCACGGTTCCATAAATCTTTTGCTTTATCAATGGCACCACTGACCACTGATTTTTTACCACTATCCCAATCTTCAATCTCTTCCATTTGGTTTGGTCCTCGTTCTCTGTAGCTTCGTGGCTCTTCGTCATATCGGTCACCTAAAAAAATATAATTAATATGACAAAAAATAATTGTTACTGATGGATATAAAACTGCATGAACTGGGAATCAAACCCGGTCTCAAACTCATGGCAGGCAGTTTTCTATTAAAACACCACCACTTCCAATAAGCTTATCCAGGCATAAACTGTGCATGTAGAAAATGTTACAAATATAATTAATATAATATAATCATTTTAAAAAGTAGTACTGACATAAACTGCCATACACTTGGGTTTTTAAATTTTTAGATTATCACTCAGTTTGTTGCAGTATTACTATGCCTGTCTATTGCAAGTAAGTATAACAGAAGAGAACCCCTCCCAATGTAGAGCAACTGTTAAAAAATACTTACTATATGCTGCTCCACCACCAAGCCCCATTACTTCACTAGAAACTCCAACGTATTTGTCTTTTGTCTTCTTAGCCTTTTTCCTTTCTTCTCTTAGTCTATCATCATCTTGTATAAAATCAAGCAGCTCCTTCACCTTGTGACGCACTGCAAAATAAGACCATGGATCAAGGAAATGTATCAGTATAATAGCTAAAAGGCCTAAAACAAAGCAAAGTATACAATTTTAACAAACTTATATTTAAGCTTAATGAAGAAGATCCTAGGATTTTACAATGCATTTTAATTACTTTAATGAGTTTCAGAGATATTTATGTATTGTAAAAAAAAATGTATTATACAGTTATACAGTTGAAGACACTGTTCTTTGTTCTGAACTGATAAGAAAATTAAACGATAATTTTAAAAAATAATTTTGAAAAACTATCAACAATGATGTATAAGTTGCTTATGCTGCAATAAAAAAAATTGCATGATTACAACATCAGAGCTACATCATATTTATTTCTACATTACTATCCCTGATTTTTAATTCCTGTGGTTTAGAATATAACCAAAAACAATATGAATGAAAAATTGGATCAATTAAGGTTAGCTAACCATTGAGTCCCTGATCTTTGCCTTGTTCATCTGTAAAAGAATAGTTTTCTAACCCACGAAGGTCATATATATGCTCTCTTGTGCTTGTCACAACCCTCTCAGATCCATTTTTGATCAGGTAGTTCAACAAAATGAGTGCCTGTAATGTAGATGTTTTAACAGCACACAAGAAAATAAAATGTAAAAAAGAATGTTAACAATTATAGGACTTTTGACAAAATTACAAAGCTTTTGAAAAAAATGAAATATTTACTGAACTGTAATACATGGTTTCCAAATCTGGAGTGTGAGATGGCATTACAGGGAGTGCAAGGAAAAGAACAAAGAGTCCACTGACTTTTAAGTTATCATAAAAAAATGTTTAGCCAATTTTAAAATTTCTTCATTAACATATTACTTTATATTACAAGTCACAAGTTTATTTTCTAAGTTATACATTACACTTTGTAAGGCAATAAAAAAAGTTATTAGTCCATTTTTTCCTCAAAATTTTAAAATACCCGAAACCCTGCTGTATGACTTACAATATCTAGAGATTACTGGTTCTTATCAAAAGATGTTTGTGAAAGATGCTAAAGGATGGGTCGATAAAATTACAATTTTTTTCAAAAAATGTGCAATGGTAAAAAATTGGATTTTTTTCATTAATTAGGATTTTAACATTTTAAATTGATTTTTTTTTCTTGTTAAAAAGGATTTATTTAGATTTTGAAGTGTATTAATGTTCATAAGGATTAAAACTAATATAGTTAATAGTATTTAAAACAATATTTAAAATTTAAATAACATTTTTTTTTAAAATTCAGATAAGATTTCTTAAAATTTAAATTGGACTTTAACATAGTGATTTAAACTTAAGTAAAATAATAATCAAAAAATTAATAAAATTCCATTTAAAGGGATTTGAAAACTTCTTTCCCAATTGAAAATTTCTCATTCCATTCTTAAAAAAATGATTATGAAATATCAAATAATAAATAATAAAAGTTTTTAAAAACTTATAATCAATGATAGTCATAGGCTTAATATTATAATCTCTATCTAAGCTATAAGAATAAGAATTTCAATCCAGTTTCACACTTTCAAATAATTTTCAGTGTCATAATCTTTTCATTTGTCTATGTTGTTTGATTCCAAAGCCTTCTGATTTAACAATTTGAATAATAAAATAAAAATTCCAGTAAAATAAAAATTCCAGCTTTCTCAACCCTATATCAATTCTAAAAACTGTAAATTTTAAATAAATAAAAATGAAATGTATTACTACAAAATTGTGCAATCATAATTATATATTAAGAAAAAAAATATAATACATAAAAAAGCACAAAAGTTATTTTCAGCAACTAAGCAAGTGTCTTTAAATATAAATAGATTAGTTTTTATAGATTAGTTAAATAAATATAATTTAAGTCAATTAAAATCAAAATTCATGATTTTTATTGGTCAGATTTAAAGCAATGATTTAAAATTGGTTGATTTAAATCTTCTTAACCCTGGCTGAAATTAAAACTATAAAACTATATTTCAAATGAGATCATAAGGTAAAGATCAGGAAGTGAATCTGTGCAGCAGAAAATACAGAGAAGCAAATGGGGATGAATTGACAATCAAATAGTTATAGACAGTCTCTATCAAGGATATTAATGAGAATTTATGTAACACTTCAAGAAGAAACCTCGACAGAGAGAGTGAGATAAATAGCAAAGGTGGAATAAGCTTGAAAGAATAGCTTAAAACAAAAAACTGGGGAAAAAAAGTAAATTGCCAGTGCACCACTTGGACTTGGAGCAAATAATGCAAAGAAGAAGAAGGCTTAGTACATGGTTATTCATGTATGCAATAAGAAAAATATTAGATGCAGAATTTTTGTGTAAGGACTTTTTCTTTGTTATTTACTTTCTCCACATTGTACCTTGTAAACTCTTCTCCAGTTTTTTTTGTTGTCATGGAGCATCCTCTTCCACAACATCCCCATTACTTCTGGAAAATGTTCGTATGTAAATGTGTATTGGGCTACTTCCTTCATGAGAGATCCATGAGGTCCCCAAGCATCATCATTTGTTGCTTCTCTCACCTTCGTCTCAACCTCAGAGTAGTTCATTACAACATTTGTACTGGTGATAATGTAATTATGATTATTTATATATATCAACCAACAACTGTCATTTGTTATTCATATAAAATGATTACCGGTATCCACACACCTAAACCTTTGCAGTTTTGTACTCTTCCTCAACTTAATTTTTTTTAAATTTAACCATTTCTAAGATGGAGCTTGAATTTTGTTGGTGGGAAAGAGTGCTGCACCAATTATAAATAGATAGATGCCATTTTATTGATTGCTATCAGCCTTATAAGTTATTAAAACTATTTCTCTGCAATTTGGCTCTTGGATATCATAAAATGCTACCAGTACATAGATATAAAATGTAATCTTTATCACTGATTTCCAAGGTGGTTGTCTGTGGACCGGCACCGGTCCGTGAAAATTATATTGCCTGTCCGCTCAACATGAGCCAAAAATCTGGAAATATAACTTTAATTTTTCCTCGCCTGAGTCTCATTTCAAAGCCATTTTTTTTTTAAAATCCACTATTTCTTGTGACATGATGACATTTTTTTAAATTTCCTATTATAGACTAACTTATAAACTGCTATTGAAACTATTTTAAAACGGCCATAACAAAAATTTTTTAAAAATAAATAAAACAGTTAGCATTAATTAGTATTTGTTATTTGAGTCCTATAAAATCGCCCGATCACTGTTAAAAAATATTTTATAACCTATCTTTTGAATAAATCTGGTGCAGGTCCTTGGCCTGGGTGGGTCTAGTCCACCAAACTCAAAAGTTAAGGATGGACTGATCTTGATTTTAATCTCATATTTTAACATTTTTACTAAAACAGTTATAAATCAGTTTCTTCGCATCCAATAGTTTTGATTATCTCTTTAATTTGCAGACTGATTTACTACTTTTTCAATGAAGATTCAATATTAGCATTGTTTTTTTATCCATGTAGTGAAGACAAAAACAGCTTGATATGACATTACCAATTCTTTTGATGCTTTTATTTTCTTATTTCCTAGACTAGCCAAGCTTAAATGTTATACATCTGAAACAGCATAAGCATGATTTGTCATATGCTTGTGCATTTACGGCATTGTACAATCAATTATAATTATAACTGCAGTTGATTCAAATGATGATGTCATTCAGAATGGAGAAATGCCATGATTTTGTATCAAATTTAAACAAATATATACATTGTCATAGACTATGGAAGTATGTCATGTATAGTATGTGAAGGAAGGTATGGGAAAACCTGAAAAGGGATGCAACAAAATAACAAACATGTCTGCCAGAAGCCTTTTTCAGCAAACTAATGAGTAACACAAATATAAACAAGTTGCTGAAATGTTATATCTTAGACTTAGAGCAGCGTTTCCCAAACTTGGCTGACCATTGGCAAAGTCGTGAAACTTCACCAGGGACCATTAGTTGTTTTTTTGCGTTCTTTTTCAGGTTTTTCCACACCTTGTCTCATATATTTTTTCCTTCCACCTAACCTGATGCAGTCTCTCCCCCACTGATTATCATTGGCAGAGGTTTGTCATAGCTAGGTCAACTAGGATATTATGAATACTATTTTGCTTGTTTCATTCTGAACAGTGACTTTTTTTTGCACACTGACACTATTTTGAAATTACACCAAAAACTCATGCAGCCTAGGACTTTTATTATTGCCCATAGAAATCCTATTTCTTTAATTTATAATTTAATATAAAAGTTGCGATACCCCTTGTTTTTTGGGGATCTTTTAGCCTACTTTCCATTTCAATATATTTAAATTTCATTCTTTAAGTTTAAGCTTAGGGCAATGCTGACAATAGTAGAGGGTTCAGACTCTCAGAGTCTGGAACAAGTGATTGATAAATCAATTTATTTTATAGTAATCCCTTTGGCACTATTTCATTAGGCAGGCCTTTACTAAATTTGACTACATTGTTCTTTTTCTTTCTACAATACTCAATACTCAATAGTCTACATTGATCTTTGACATTATAATCATATAGAATATTTTCGGGAGGACCTATGTCATGTATTTGATTTGTATGTTGAGTTTATGAGTATTGTTAATGAATCATGATATACTAGGAGTAGGTATAGCGTAGTTAAGTATACAGTGTATACCCGTAGTCTCGTAGTCCTAGTCCCTAGAGTGCCTAGGCCTAAGAGTTAGGGGACTAGTAGTACCAGTGTTTGTGTCATTATGTGTAGTGTAATGTATCTTGGATTTTTTAAGTATTTAGATGAGGGATTGGGTTTCATTATGTTTTTGCCAGGACCAAACTTTTGTTTCATAATAAAAATAAATTGCTCTGGGTCTTTCTATTCGTTTGTGGCTTATGTTGTGCTTCTAAGAAAGATGTATTCGTGTCACAAACCGGAAGTTGACACTTTCGATTGGTAAAAAAAAATTGAAAGCCAATAAAATAATCTTACACTTTGTCTGTTAGCTCCCGTAACTTCCAAATACTTGTACTCAACATCTTGCTGAATAGTTTTAATAAAAATTTTAAACAGAAACAAAAAATAAAAAAATTTGATGAGATGTTGATGGATTCAAAGTTACTCCGTTACGTAGCCCAATAATAAACCGGAAGTGGCGAAACCCACCACTTCATGAAAATAGTAACAGAATATACCTCCATACAAATTGGAAGTTATAAAACTAAATCGCATTTTTAGTTGTTTTTAAATTTTAATTAAAACTTAAATTTTATTGATTTTTTTCAGTCATCAATCAATTACTATTTTATCAGTAATGCTAACAAAGACGCTACGGATTTCAAAATATTGAATCACAAATTCACTTTTTACTTTAGTGGAAGATCTACTATTAATAATAGATTTCATTATTTAGTTAGGTCCTACTTTGCACTTTACTTAATTTTGTCTGATCAAAACCTTTTAAAACCAGGAATTTGGTTTGGAGCTCTGGGCGCAGGGTCTTTTTACCTGGACCTGCAGCTGGTTAAATTTCTTACGACTTCAAGATCCAAATGTTTTTGTTGTTTTTTTTTTTAATTTTTAAAAAGTATTTAGAAAATATTGCATTTTTTACCCCCTAGTCAGTCCGTAGAAATCTTTTCGTCTGTGTATGTGTCCATACTTTTGGCAGCAACGACTTGTTAGCCTTATTTCAATTGTTATAATCTTATTACTCCGCAAAGACCAGCACAATTAATAGTTTCACCTCCACCGCGCGGAAAATGTATCCTTAACCGAAGCATTACTGCTCCACTTGTGTGAAAGCGCGTGAGACCATCTGATTCTGAGCAGCCACTGTCAAGGCCTGTGCTAAGAGTGACTTCTGGCTTTTGTGTTTACTTGGTCATTGTCTTTGAAACTTATAGCATGGTTTCGGTCCCTTGTGCGTACTGACACAACTGCGGAGATCTGGTTGTATCTCCTACACAACCATGCTGCTGTTTCAGGTAACTGTCAACAAATATTGAAAGTCAGGCTGCAACATTTGTTGACGTAGCTGAGGAACTACTAAATGTTAGGAAAGGTTAGGATAGAAGAAATTTGTTCCACTCATTATTTGCAGTAAGTTTAGAGATTTGGAACAAGCATGCGAAATAAATGCAAGAAATATAGAAAAAGGCAATTTTTGCATTTTATGGTTCACGTGTAACATAACTGTATAGCGTTGATCTGTTTACTTTGAAGATTTTGAAATATTTTCTTGGGTGACTTTGAAACAACGTAGAAAGAAGTGCCTCTTATGTAAATGAAATCTTCACAGGGAAAATTGTTGATAATGACATCTTTGATGAGCTAACTTACGTGAAACAATTTTTATCCCCTGCTGATCTAGAAAAATGGAACTCGCAAAAAATTTTTGTCGATCAGAAGTGGGTGCAAATATTTCAACATTTCAAAGCAAATGATGTACCTTCAAAAAGTTGTAACGAAATGATTTACCGAAGAATTTTTTTCCGCCCCCCCCCCCCCCCCCCCGCTGCTCTGTGCCTCTGGTTGTTATGATCCTTTGTGTCCGCTCTGCAACGCCGGCCTTTGGGGTGTCCGATCTGTGCCCTCACATCATAACACGTGCTTCATAGCCTACGTCGTAATCGGAAAAAGAGTGGCGCCATACAGGGCGAAAGCTTACCTAAGGCTAAGGCTGGCGTTGCCGTGCTGGTAAGCATAATGTAGTGTCTCGAGGTAATATAGCAACAGACTCAAGTTAAATACTTTTTAAACGTTTATTTTTGGTTGGGTTTCTGTTGGGTTTTTTCCGAATGTGACTTCACAGGATGAAACCCACAAGCCCTGGGATAAATCTTTTTAGGTTTATAAGCTGATTCCTTATACAGCAAATCGACTCTCTCCACACCGCTTGGTACCAGTAGCGTCACAGGAGTTGTCGTAATTGTGTCAATATTATCGGGTTTTGATTTCAGTTTCAGAGTTTGCCTTCTCATAGAGGCCATCCAAGGTTAACGAGGTCCATCCACCCGGGGGGGGGGGGGGGGGGGGGGCTGGTGATGTTTTATTTTTGCTTGATTGGGCTTTGGTGGGGGTGGAACAACTTGAAATGACTCATTTTTTTACACTCGACCACCTAGCACCGCATGCATTAACGTAATAGGGTGCCATAAAAGTTCCCTCAAGGTCCTTAGTTAAAATGACCAGCTACTTTTTTTTACTTTTCTGTCCAAGGGACTGTGGAAGAGCATTCGCTATATGATACCGTCCCCATTGCTGAGTTCTGACCGCGTCTTCAAAGATGCAAACTCATCAAAATCAACATTCTCCATCTTATCACTTACATTTGACTAAATCACAAGCTCAGAAAGTCTGCACTATTCCGTGGTAAATCGCAAATATCCATCTATAAGTATGTTAAGTTTTGAAAAACCTTCTCTCAAATGAAGACACAGACACTAAGAAAGTAATCCATAATTGTAGGCTTGTGAGAGAGGACCGTGAGAGATGCTAGGGATTCCCATTCAGCTATGAATGTCAAAACTTCAATACTGACAAAGCGGAGATTAATATCAACTGCCTTCGGATACCTTCGGATGCCTTCGCAGCCGTAATATTTTAATTTAAAGTTCACTTTATTTAACTTTCCGATTATTCATCATAGGAGCCAGAATTATCGATACATTGATCGCGGACCCTTAAAATATAGAAGAAGAAAGAATTCAGTGTCGGAATATACAACAGCACGGCCTTTTTTTTATTAGTAGTTGTAGAACGCAACGGAATGGCGTAGCAGCACCTTTTTTCGATAGATGTTACAAGTAACTTTTAACAATTTTATATTTGGTCCACGTGCACTTGAATCGTAGCAGGTGGTGGTCGGGGGGGGGGGGTTCATTAAAAGGGGGGGGGGGGGGGGGGTGGGGGGGGGGGGGGGTTCATTAAAACGGTGCACGTAGTCTACTTCGTGGAAGGGGGGCGGAAAAAGCACTCACCCTAACTACAGCACTGCGCGCCAACGGTAAATGATTTCTTCATTTAACATGTTCTTAAAAAATCATCGGTAAAATGGAACAAATTAGGAATTACTTCTCAACAACCTTTCCTGCTAACAAATAGGCCAGAATATTAACTATTAACAGGCGAAAATAATGACGGCTGTTGATATTTCTGAATCTGATCTTGAAAAGCACAACCGAACTTCACATTGTAATGACCTATGATTTTTTAAAAAATAAATATATTTACCGGTAAATTATGTATATTTTAATTTAAGGGGCTATCTATAACTGTCAATTTTTATACCCATATATAGCGAAACAAATTTGTCACACAATGTAGACACCCTCTTAATATTTTGTCATAAAATCGTGACCCCCAACCCCCCGATGGGTGACGTCATTGTGGTTGACCCCCTAAAAGATGAACAACAGATACGAAGTCAGATCAGCATAAAACAATTGATGACATCATTTAAAAACGCTGAGTTTTTTAAATTGTTTTAGGAAAAGCTGGTTTAAAAAAATAATAAGGTAAGAATCATTATCCATTAAGCCTATTCCCGCTAATATATTACAGTCTGATAACTTCTCAAACCTGTAAATGGGTGAAAGGAATTGGTTGGAAAGATACGGGGGGGGGGGGCATTAAAAATCGTATTCGCCGATGTTGGGACTATCAGCCTTTCAGCAAGTTCAGTTGTGCGGACATCAGAAGAACTTGGAGAAACATATTTATAGCTACAGATACGTGAGAAAGCTAGGAACTTGCTGTGGTATTGTCTGGCGCTAGGTGAGCCTACTGATCTCTCGAGTACGTCACAAATTCTCGTGTTTATTTGTGGTTTTAATTTAGACTTTCAGATTCGGAAGAGTTGGCATCCGTTTGCGCCATGCATGGAACAACAAATGAAAAATACATTTTCGTGGAAGTGCAAACATTTTTTCACACTATAACCTTCAGTGGAATCAGCTTCGATATGTTACGGCTGATGGAGGAAAAACGTGGCTGGAGTGAGGAGAGGTCTGTGGGGCAGATCAGGACTACGTTGGAAGATTTGAAAATGCTGGGCGCTCTGTTCATACACTGCATCATACATCAGAAAGCACTCTGTGGGAAAGACTTAGATGCACCGAAACCAGTCGTTTCTGATATGAACTTCGTTCAGGGACATACACTCAATCACCGTTAGTTCCAGGATTTTCCAAGAAATTGATTCTGAATTCTGTGATTTGCCTTATCACACATCAGCGAGGTGGTTCAGCTACGGAAAATCCTGTTTCGTTTTTACAAGCTCCAAAACGAACTATTTGTTTTTCTCACTGAAAGAGTTAGAGCTGACCAACAGCTTTCAGATTCTACGTTGCTGTCAGATCCTACCTAGCAGTCAAAGTTATAATTTTCGGTCGACATCACATCCCACATTAATGTACTGAACTTGAAACTTCATGGAAATGATAACCTCATCTGTGATCTCTACTGAATCATTAAAGGATTTCGGAGAAATTTGTCATTGTTTGAAGCATATCTGGAAGGAGAAAACTTTTCTCATCCTCCATCGTTTCAAAGTTTTTTGCGCTATAATCGACGAGGACATCAACCTCGATTTTCCGGAGGAAAAATAATTATTCACTTGAAGAAGATTTTCAGACTTGAGAGTGACATTCTTCTGTTCCAGAATCCGGTTGGTTGTAACTTTGATGATGTGCCAGTTGAACTACATTTGGAGCTCATTGATTTGCAAGTAAATGGCTTGTTGAAAGAGAAGCACGGGAAAGGAAAACTTGTTGATTGCTGTGTTTTCCGAAACTGAAGAACTTTGCCGCTGGTATGGCATTAGTGTTTGGAACAATGTTTGTCTGTGAGCAAACATATTTCAAAAATGAACATTTAAAATCAATTCTCTTGATTGGATGCAGCAATTCAACACCAAACATTGATTATATCTTGAAAGCCAAAGATCAGTTTCACAAATGTCACAAACCTTTTTTTGCAGCTTAGTTTTTGCGATTTAACTATGTGCGCGCTCGGTCTGATGTAACTATCTTTTTGCTAACTTCGCCTTATTTGATACATTTTTAAAAGTCTTTTGCACATTGCATGACCACTCACCCATGATTAACATGAAATACTAAACTTAGTTTTTCGTATTTTTTCCCAGATCTGGGTGACACTCTTGATATTTATATTTTTATATATAAATACATAATACA